TGAAGTTTGATCAAACTCAAATCAAACCAAACTCAACCCTTGAAACTCTAATCCAAGTGACCCCAATATTGAATAAGAAAAGCCAATTCCCAATAGCTCATAGACCCCAACAAAAAAAATCAATAGTCAGCAACGTCTACGATACTTATTATGCTCAAGAAGATAAACATAAGGCCTATATTTATTATCAAAAACCACTGAAAATAAATATTATAAAATTATTTATGAAAGTCTTAAAGACTTAGGTCTCATCGATGATGATAGTAAATTAAGTACTAATATAAACAAAGCTTTCAAACAGGCTATAAAATTTGCTGAAGTAAATAAATACAAAAATAATATTAGAACTTGGTCTAATAATATCAAGGAAATTTCTAATAATCAACAACAAATAAAATATAATTATAAATACTATAAAGATGGTGTTAAATTTGAAAGGAACAAAAAGACATTCTACAACGATAGATCAAATAGCCTTAGGAACTGTAAGTATAATAGAGTTAGAATTAAAATAAATGAACATAAGACATCCATTTATTATTAAAGAGCTGCTGAAGTAGACCAAGCTGACGAAAATGAAGTAAAGGTTGAAGAGAAAATTCTAGTAAATTACTAAAAATCAGCTAATATAAATGAATTGAATAAAAAGAAAAATGAATATAAAAGAATCAAAATTAAGAAAGATTAGTATAAGACACATACATGTTACCAAAAATAAGCAAAGATGAATCATGTTAACAAAACATTCAAACCTGGTTATAAGGGTGAAATAACAATCAAAAAAAAGTTTTAGTGAATTACCAAAAATCAGCTAAAATGAACTATGTTAATAAGAATAAAGTTCAATATAACTATCATAAATATCAGCTAATAATCAAGAGCTACAGAAGATTGAGAAAATGCTACAAGTTAATTCTGGCATCAAGATATACAAATTAATAGCTAAATATATAAATGGTTTTTTATGAACCAAACCAAACTAAACTAAACTATAATATTCTTACTAGTAACAATTCACACTTTTTGAATATATAGTAAATGCAAATATTAAACAAGTTTGTGTTTAAGCAATATTTGCAAATAGTGTCTATATATATCACTGCCTTTAAGTATACAGTATATAAAAAATTTTATAAATATACATTTTAAATAATATAACAATTATAAGTTTTAACACCTCTAAATATATATTTTCTCTAAATATAAATTTTTTTTTTTTTTACTATAGTTTCAAAAGTATGCACTTAGAGGTATATAATATATACACTGTTAAGTTCTAGTATTTAAAATTTAATTTTTAGTAATAATTGTTACAGATAAAATAAAATTATATTAAAATAAAACTAAGGACCTTTTTTACTTACCTTTAAAGCTTATAAATCTTATATATACTTATTTATCAATAACTCTAATTTTAAACTCTAATATTGATACTAAAAGAAACTCTAAAAAATATCTTTTAAAATAATTTAAATTTTTTTTAAAAAATAAAATAAAATTATTTTAATCTGATTTTATTTTAATTTGTTATAATAATTACTATAGTACTTTATTTATTAAACTGAATACTATAATATTACAAATTTTATATAACAGATTGCTCAAGTCTAGGCTAGATTTAAATTAAGGCTTAATTTCTTGAAACCAGACCAGATCTTTTATATTTTACCAACAAGTAAAAAAATTTTAAGTACAATTAGTATGTACATTGCTTCAAAATGCTAGTTAGAAATTAGTAAAATTCAAAATTTTTAAATAAAGCTAGTTTGTATAAAGATAATTACTAAAAATAGCAGAAAATCAAACAAACTTCTAAAACTTCTAATAAACAATTCTCAAGTAAATCAACTATCAATAAAAGTTGCATATAGAATTAGCAAAATTAAAAATATATTATAAAGTAAAGTAAAAAAATTAATTCATTCAAGCTTTTTAAAAATTGGTTAATATAGAAAACTTATTTATCAATTGTATAACAATTAGATAATTATTTTATTTGGAGTACTACTTAAAAAATAAAGTTGTGATAGCTTGTTATTAAAAATTCTAATATATATATATATATATATGAATTATTAATATTTATACCACTGGTTAAAAATAACCACTTCTATTAAAACTTAGAGTTAGGGTGCAGCTCTAAAATAAATAGGAGATTTTTATATAAAATATTTTTTTATATAATATAGTATCTATTGGATATAATATTACCCTAGCTATGGCGAAAAAAATTTACGGTAATCATAAGATTCTACTTGAACTACATTATGATTTGCATACTTTAGCCAATCAGAGTTAACCATGCATAATAATTTTTTTATGTTTTTAATGATAATGATAAGACTTTATTGATCACTATAACTTTAATATTTATTCATATTTATTTAGCATGCTTATTTCACTGCCCAAAGTATTAAAATCATTTACTTTTTTCTTATTTAATTATTCAGCCTATAAGTATTATGTTTGAACTATTAATCTGAAGTAATTTACTCAATACTCATACAGATTACTTCTTGGTTAGTCTTTTATTAGACAGTAAACGTAACAATTAAAGTATTTGTTTTAGGTAAATATAAAGCTATTTTAATAATTGACACATTTTGAACGATTTATTCAAATCAATTTTCTTTTTTTATGTATTTAGTTAATAGATTAATAATTATTTAGTTACTAAAGTTGATTCAACGGTGAATATAAGTCATTTATTAATTAATGTATTTAAACAATTGTTTTATTTTATTTGGTTTATATAAATACTAATTAAAAAATATTACAGTAATGACTAATTAAAAACGTAATACTGTATTATCAAGGTAGTTACTTCAAAGCTTTGACATTGATATATTTGGATACGTGCAGTTAATATTTTATTGGCTAACGTAGCCAATAGGCAAGCTTTTTATTGCTTGAATTTTGAGTGCCTTGCTGTCTATGAGCTTGCAAGACTTCTTCACACTTATTAACTGCTTTTACGAATAGTTTTATTAAGGTATCAAAGTTTTTTATAAAATTGTCATTATCTATTTCTCTTCTATATAATTCTAATTCCTTCTCAAATTTATTTGTATAATAGACATATTTTTCTCGTCTCTTTTCTATTTTATTTTCTTGTGTTATTGTCGATATGTTTTGCAAGTAACCTGAGTGACTACCCTCTGCAGCAAAACTTTCAAAAGCTAAATTTGATTTTAAAATAGCTGTATTAGCATTTTTCCATAGATTATTTTGCTAAAAAATTGCTGGAGACTTATTCTTTCCAAAGAAAATTAAAAATAATCATGTTGTCTTGTTGTTTTATTAAAGGTAGACCAAAATTTTTTTTTTTCTTTGCAACTAAATGCTTGCAAAGAAAATAGCTGTTATTTACATATGTTGAGCAAGAATATATCCAATTATTTACATCCACTTGATGTTTTTTATCTATATCAGGCATAATATTTATAGACATAGCCCTATTCCAGTCTTTTTTAAAGGCCTGCTACTAAGATGGAAAATGCCGATTTGTATCATAATGGGTCATTATAATGTCGAAGTTAGGCACTAATTGTTCGACAAGAATATTGGTAAAACGATCAAGCCAAGGTCTATTATAGTTATACTTATATTTGTACTTAAGTACTCTCCAGTAACTTTCAGTAATCATGGTAGTTCAGGCTAAAGGAATCGTGAAAGAATATGAAGAATGAGCAAATATTAACTAATCTTTTTTATTATACCAATTCAACCAAAGATATCCCCAATTCACAACACTTATAATTGTAGCAGAAAAAATAGATCTCCTGCACACAATGGTAATAAATTTTAAATAAATTCCAAAAAACATTTTTTTTACTGAAATTAACAGATGCATATTTGCATGTCTTTTAATTATATTAATAATTTCTTTAGATATTTCTTCTGAATATAGACTTCTAATATTACCAGCTAGAATCCATGACGAATCTATAAAACTAAATTGCCAAAGAGCTTCTAATACTTTTGCTGGAGTATAAGTATTTGATCGTTGTTTTTTATTTTTTAAATGTCTGCTAATAGCATTTTCCAAATGCCAATAATATAACTGAATATTTGAATCCTACCAAGCTTCACTAACTGCTAAAATTTCACTAGCATCTTTATCTGATAATACAAATGAAAGTAATAATCCTTCTTGGTGAAGACTACTGAAAAATCTTTGAAGAGCTTGTACATGAGTGGTAACTCCATCTTTAGGATAGTAATATACTGTTCCAAGATTATCTGATACTAATACATATAAATATGCAAGTGGCATACCATACCCACCACGATTAGTATTTACTACAAAAGTTAAATTGTTTCTGATTTGTTTTAAATGTTGAATCTATTACGACCTCATTTATTTTTTCTATACCAATTCGATAAAGCAAAGGAGTAGCAAATCCTAAAGCTTTTACAAAATTGTTATCAAAATAAGTAAGAATTTTGAACCCTCTAGCTACAATTTTAGGTCGTTCAAGATATGTCTTAGAAGATTAAAGCTAATTATTTTGGTTTATAAAGTATGTTTGTTTATTATAAACTGATACCCAATAATATACTTGTTCTTTTGTATATATTGGATTAATTAATTTATTTTCGTATAAATACCTATACAACTCCGAGCTTCGCAAGTTATACCTGAGATGTCTTTGGATCTATTGTTTTGCTTCTTCTGGAAATTCTGTTTACCAATACGATGGATATTCATGTGAGCATAAATGTTCACATTGTATATTTGCACATTGTTCAGGTATATTTATATTAATTGTAATTTTGCCTTTGCAAGAAAATCGTGATATTGCAGGATAAGCTTCACTTCGCCTTTTTATCTCCTGATTATCTGGTCTTTGCCAGGCTCGATCTTCACGTGATGCATATTGGAGGTATGCTGTAGCACTTCCTGTAAATTCACTTCTTTTAAAGTTTAAACATAATTTTCGTACTTTCCAGTAGTATTTAGATCCAGATTTTAATGGCAAGATAAGAATTTTGGTGAGCTATGCGAAGCTATTTTTAATTCTTTCTAAGTTTAATGAATCATTTTTGGAATATTGGCTAAGTGCAACATTATCTAAAAGCCCTGAGTTTAATTTAATCTCAAAAGCAAATTTTGTAGGTTCACTGAATGACTTAGTATCCCGAAACTGTTTTGAGACAAATTTTTCTACTTCATCCATGCAATATGTGAGCATGTCGGCATTATTATTAGCTTGCTTTTCTATTTCTATTATGTTTGCAAAATCCTCATTAAAGAAAAAACTATTTTCTGTTGACTCAAGATCATAGTTTTCAATAATATTATGAATTTGGAGTAAATTTGAGATATTATTAGTTCTAGAAGTAGAAGTACCAATAGTTGGAACCATTACATTAAGGTTAGTTTCTGTTGTATTTTGTTGATTTATTTTTTGATACTTTTTACTATGTTTTATAGAGTACGAATTACAGATCTTATACTCGTATAATAGATTATTACTATGAGGTCGACAAATGTTTGTTTTTTGCTTTTCTAAATGACAATCACTGCATTTTTTAATTTCTGAGGCTTGTGTAGATAAACTACTTTCACTTATTTTTATGTTTTAAGAAATTTTCTAGGTTATAATTTAATTAATATACCGTATTTTCCTGAAAATAAGCACCCCCCCGAAAATAAGCACCCCCTGCAATTCACATATACCCGAAAATAAGCACCTCCTAAAACATAATACCAAATTTATATGTATAAGAAAAATTA